AAATCGGCGGCGAGCGTCGAAGCGAAGAGCACGGCATCGACCTGAGTCAAAGGCTTTTGGGAAAGAGGGTTTAGAGTCTAGGGTTTCTAGGGTTTTTAGGGTTTTTAGGGTTTAGGGTTTTTGGGGTTCAGGGCTTTTAGGGTATGTTGGGGTTGTTCAGGCGCCTAGAGCCACTGTGCCCGCAACCGTCTTGCTTGAGGATGGGGCTGGACAATCGGATTTTGCGATGACGATCGGATAAAAAATTGGAAACACTTTTCCCCACTACAGGACAGAGGAGAAGTGTGCTTCCTCCAAGTTGAGTAGCCAGGGCGTGCGTCTCTGAGTTCCCAATGCGGGCATGTTCGACACCACGAATCTTCATGGCTTGTGTTCCTCTCGCGCCCGCCTTCACTTTGCCAGTGCAGGCCATAAACCCTGAGAGCCACACTAAAACAACCTTCGAGCAAAGGGATTGTTGAGGTTGCGAAAGTTTGACTCATGCATACTTACGCTTCGTGTCACTTCGTGTTTAGGGTTGTTCAATTGAGGTATTAGGTCCTGTGGAGGCAGGCGACATCATCGGCGTTGACATGGATGATGGGCGCGTCATTGACTTTGGCCACATTCGTACCTTTGGATGTATCCCAAAATCTTCAACCCGACTGCAGCCGAAGGGGTATCGATCATCCTAAGTAGGGTGATATCTGCCCCCGCACAAAAGTGTCAAACAGGGGTAACCGTGGATATGCTAGTTCTGGCTCAGCTATACCTTCCCGCGAACCTCCAAGTAGGCCCTACGCCCTAAGCCTTTGAACTGCTCTTTTGCAGTCTGCACACGCTGAAACCGACCAAGGTTCCAAACTTCGGGTGTAGAATCCAGGCGGGGGTGCGGAGCTAGGCCTGTGGCCTACCATGCCCGCCCCCCCAGCTCATAATGTGCACATCTGTTATGGTTTGGGATACCGAAAAAGGGCCCGGGCCCGCTACTTAGATGAACCTTCTCTCACCCCGCCCAAGCCTACCCAAAGGCTCCTATGTAGTACCTTTTTGGGGTAGTATACTAAAAACCCTCTATAACTAAACCAAAAAGGAACTACATTTGAGCCTTCAGGTAGATTGCTGGGAGCCCTCTCAAGATGACTCTTTGAGCGGATGGTGTGAGCACAGAGCCTTTCAAGCTCCATCTAGCTGGCGGCTATCAAGGTTTAGAGTCGGGTTTAGGAAGGCCTATTCGGCAAAGCTGCAAGCAAAGATGAGGGCGTACATCACACACCGGCGAGACTGACACACATATGCAAAGAGCAAAGCAAGTCCGACAGCAACTCCGCACGTGGACAGCGTAGCTGTGGCCGTGCCTCTAGACCCGGCGGAATGGCCCTAAACCCCTACACCCCCGAATCCTAAGCCCCAAATGCCAACCCTACACCCTAAACCCTAAACCCTACTAAACCCTAAACCCTAAACCTTAAACCCTAAACCCTAAACCCTACATTCGAAACCCTAAAAACCTCTCCTCTGCAACCTGGGCTCAATGGTAGGACGATCTGGCAGCGCGCGGGTCGGTCGTAAAGCCAACCATGTTGTTAATCACAAAGTGGACCTTGAAGCATTAGGGGTTTCGGGTTTAGGGCTGAGAGTTTTTATGGTTTAGGGTTTAGGTTTAGGGTCTAGGGTTTAGGGTTTAGGGGTTTAGGGTTTAGGGGTTTAGGGGTTTAGGGTTTGGTTTTAGGGATTAGGGTTAACCATGTTGTTGATCACACAGTGGACCTTGAACGACGGTGAAGGCTCCGGGTTGCTCTCCTGTTGATTCATTGGGTTCAGGGTTCAGGGTTTAGGGTTTGAGGTTTAGGATGTAGGCAAAAGCCCTGACCCAGAAACCAAGAGAGATTTAAAAGCACAACGACTTGTACCACCGCGACTCCCGACATGTTTTTAACAACTAAGTTTTAAAGCTGGACACGCGCCAGACGTGAGATTCTCCTGCATGCTACCGGGCTCCCCAAAATGAAGGCACCCATTTGGGGGAGCTCTTTTTGCAGACAATATCGCTGGGTTATATATAAGAGGCACCCATATTCTAGGATGTGCCCAACTAAGGCTCACCCGGTTGGCCCCTTCAAGCCTTTGGGGATTTTAAGGTTTTAGGGTTTTAGGGTTTCGGGTTTTTGGGTTTTGGGTTTTGGGTTTTGGGTTTTGGGTTTAGGGTTTTGGGTTTAGGGTTTAGGGTTTAGGGTTTAGGGTCTAGGGTCTAGGGTTTAGGGTTTAGGGTTTTAGGGTTTAGGGTTTAGGGTTTAGGGTTTAGGGTTTAGGGTTTAGGGTTTAGGGTTTAGGGTTTAGGGTTTAGGGTTTTGGGTTTATGGTTTAGGGTTTAGGGTTTAGGGTTTAGGGTTTAGGGTTTAGGGTTTAGGGTTTAGGGTTTAGGGTTTAGGGTTTAGGGTTTAGGGTTTAGGGTTTAGGGTTTAGGGTTTAGGGTTAGGGCTTAGGGTTTAGGGTTTTAGGGTTTAGGGTTTCAGGGCTCCGGGACTCTTCTTTCCCTCCGAGCGGCTGTGCCACCAGTGGTGTAGGCTGGCAGATCCTGGGACCCCCAACCCCCAAAACACTAAGCCTGCAAACCCCGACCGCGATAAGCCCGAGACCCAGACACCAAACATGCCCCAAGACAAGAGAAAAAGGATAAGCACCTGAACCTTCAGACCCCAACACCTCCCCCTAAACCCTGTGCCCCTCAAAGCCACCTACCCCAGGGTCTTAAGTTTTTTTTGGTGGTTTAACAGATTTGCGTTGGGTTGCTAGGTTTTTGTTAAGGAGTCTTTAGGGCTTTTGAGTTTTAAGGGCCTTTCGGTTTTTGAGGGCATTTTGGGCTTAGGGTTTATTTGGGGCTTTTAGGGCTTGCATGACTGGTGTCCGGGAGTCCCCTGCGATTGGTTTAGCATTTAGGGTTTAGGGTTTGAGGTTTAGGGTGTTCCTGTAAAAGGCCATCCCCCCCCCACCCCCCCCCCCACCCCCCCCCCCACCCCCCCCCCCCACCCCCCCCCCACCACCCCCCCCCCCACCCCCCCCCACCCCCCACCCCCCCCCCCCACCCCCCCCCCCCCCCCCCCACCCCCCCCCCACCCCCCCCCACCCCCCCCACCCCCCCCCCCCCCCCCCCCCACCCCCCCCCCCCCGCCCCCCTCTAATCCACAGTCTACCGGCAGGAAGCAGAACCCCAACTGTTAGCAACTGTTAGGAACTGGTTTGCTTCAGGAGATGGGTTTCGACAAGGATATGTCACCCAAGGTTCCCTACCCCCCCCCCCCCCCACAACTCCGAATGGCTCCCTAAGCTGCCAGAAGGTTCCCGAGGTACCTAACCCGAACCCTAAACTCTAAACCGGAACCCGGAACCCGAAACCCTAAACCCTAAACCCTGAACCCTGAACCCTGAACCCTAAACCCTAAACCCTCCCTAAACCCGAAACCCTAAACTCTAAACCCTCGCTTAAGGACCCTGCAGCCTACCTGTTACTACTCCTTGCTGAGGAACCCCAAAAGGACAAAAATACTAGTCCCGATATTAGCCTGAATTTGGAAGAATATTTTGTGTTTTTCGGTGTTCCCTGAACCCTAAACCCTATACCCTAAACCCTAAACCCGAAACCCTAAACATTTGATCGGGGTTCTTAAGCAAATAGTAGGCTAGGCAACTGAACCTTCGACAGGTCTCGGCCAGCTGCAGACACTCGGCCAGGATGCCCTTTGTGAGGCTGCGTACGAAGGCTTAGGGTTTAGGGTTTGGGGTTTGGGGTTTAGGGTTTAGGGTTTGGGGTTTGGGGTTTGGGGTTTGGAGTTTGGGGTTTGGGGTTTGGGGTTTCGGGTTTGGGGTTTGGGATTTGGGGTTTAGGGTTTACGGCTTGCCGTACCCTCGGACCTAAACCCTAAACCCTAAACCCTAAACCCTAAACCCTAAACCCTAAACCATCGGTCTGACAAAACCCACCGTGGGGAGCTCCAAAAACCTCCCAAAAGTCTCTCTCCCATGCCTTAAGCCCTACACCCTACACCCTACACCCTACACCCTAAACCCTAAACCCTAAACCCTAAACCCCAAACCCCAAATCCCAAACCCAAACCCTAAAAGGTAGAGTCCGGTGCTCTGTGGGGTCTGCGGTTTTAGGTGTGTTTTTTGTGTGTTCCTCAACTTTTGCTGCACGCATGTATGCCCCAGGGCGCTCCGTTCTGAAAACGTAATGCACAGAGGACCGTTCTAGAGGTGGGTTGCTTGCTGTTTTATGAGACGGCCCTGAGAAGCAGTAAAGACGGGGTTTTGTGTAAGAGTCTTGCTGCGGGAAGTTTAGACAGCGGGGGGGAGGGGGTGGGGCTGAGCCAATCCCGAAGTATAGGGTTTAGGGTTTAGGGTCTAGGGCTTAGGGTTTAGGGTTTAGGGTTGAGGGTTTAGGGTTTAGGGTTTAGGGTTAGGGTTTAGGGTTTAGGGTTTAGGGTTTAGGGTTTAGGGTTTAGGGTTTAGGGTTTAGGGTTTAGGGTTTAGGGTTTAGGGTTTAGGGTTTAGGGTTAGGGGCTTAGCCTTAGAGATTGGCTTAGGGGATTGGGGACTTGAGACTTTGGGGGCTTAGGTCTCAAAGGCGTTGGCCTTATGTAGGGCTCAAGGAGCTAAGGCTGAGGGTTGCAAACCCCAAACCCCTAAACCCCAAACCCCGAGCATTGCATGTGAGGGCTCGAGGGGATAGGGTCTAGAAAGCATCTAGCCGAGCGCTATGTTGATTACTGTACCAGGGAACCTTGAACCCACAAAAAGGGGAGAAAGGGTACCACTGGGCTACCATGCAAAGAGTTTCGCATGCCCTAGAAACCCTGGAAACCTATTAACCCAAAAAAAGCCAAAAGCCTGAACCCAGCGTCGCGGCCTGTCCACAAAAGGCAGCATCGCCATGGATGAGCACCTCATGAAGACACGACGACTTTTCTAGAGTTTACCGATTCCGGGTGAGTTCGGGGTTCTTATAGGTTCAAGGTCTGCGTTTCACTTTTTTTTGTTCGGGGGTGGGGTGGGGTGGGGTGGGGTGGGGTGGGGTGGGGTGGGGTGGGGTGGGGTGGGGTGGGGTGGGGTGGGGTGGGGTGGGGGCGGGGGGTTGCAAAACCTATGTATGTAGGGGGTTGGGCTTTCGACCCGGAGACCCAAAACTAGGCTCTACAAAGTTCAGCGTCCGCAGTCTTGTCAGTCTTGGTAGCCCCGCAACCATCTTCCAATAATTGGGCGCCTTTCTTTGTTGTTGATAGATATATTTATCTTATTTTTAAATATATATGTATATATGTATATATGCATATGTATGTGTTTATGTATATATATATATATAGAGAAACACATATACACGTACATACAGAGTGAGCGAAGCTCGAAACCGAAAAGGGCATAACAGGGTACCAATGGACCACCAGGCAGTAGAGTCTCCTGGGGTTTATGGTTGGCGCTTCGGGGCAACACGAATCCCTAGACTCTAGACTCTAAACCCTAAACCCTAAACCCTAAACCCTAAACCCTAAACCCTAAACCCTAAACCCTAAACCCTGAACCCCAGTTTGGGGGGGGGGGGGCGGGGAGATTTCGGGTCTGAGGTTCAGGCCTTCACATCCAGTCTCCAAAAGCCCTTTGACAGCCTCAAACCGTAGAGGGCTGGAACAAGGTCAGCCTTCCCCGACAACCCTAAACCCTAAACCCTAAACACTAAACCCTAAACCCTAAACCCTAAACCCTAAACCCTAAACCCAGAATTGCTTCGGATATCCTAGAGCTACCTGCTCCCGGAGTTGCTGTGCTGGGCCCCTAGATTTGAACTAGGGCTACCTGCTCCTTCAGACGGGTCTAGGGTTTAGGCTTTATAGGCTTTATAGGGTTTATAGGGTTTGGGGTTTGGGGTTTAGGGTTTAGGGTTTAGGGTTTAGGGTTTAGGGTTTAGGGTTTAGGGTTTAGGGTTTAGGGTTTAGGGTTTAGGGTCGAGGGCTTAGGGTTCAGCATCTTATGTTCTAGCTTCTTCGAGCCAAGCCGAGCTAGAAGACAAAACCACCCACTCAGAGAATCCCATAACATTAAGAAAATACAAAGTTCACTCAATCCATAAACCTTGGGCTCCATACCCCCGTGCCCGAAATCGTAAGCCTTAACCCAGAGACTCCAAAACCCCTTAATTAAGGAAAAAACCTTAAATAAAAATAGGAACCCTAATGATTTAAGGTATATTCCTTAATTAAGGGGTTTTGGAGTCTCTGGGAAGGCCAGACCCTTGAGCGCCCAACAGGGCCGGTCGATTTTCGCCATTAAGGTGTATGTATTTATTTATCTATTTATATGTTTCTCTGTTTCATTTATTATATACGATAGGACCGGAAAGGTTTAGGGTTTAGGGGTGTAGGGCTTTTTAGTGGGGCTGTCGCGCAAGGCCATACGTCTAGGATTGAAGTCCGTGGCGCAGCGGCCACCTTCCGCATGTCCTGGTTGCCCGTGTAGTCCTTCGAGGGCTCATAAACCCAAGACCATAAATCCAAAACCCTAAACCCTAAACCCGAAAGCCCTAAACCCTAAAGTTTACACCCAAAAACCTAAAGCCTAAAACCTAACCCTAAACCTTAGCCTTAAACCCCTCAACCCGATGCCCCCCTAAATCCTAAAGGCGTGTGGAGCATCCCTAGCCCTTGGTAGACATTAGCATAGCAAGGGTGCCCTCTTGGGGGGGGGGGGGAGGTTGGCTTCTTATCTTGCAAGAGAGCCGCGAACCTTTCAAAAGGTCAACAACAAGGGCACCACGGTGCTAACTGCCCTACGGTTCAAAACCCAGAAAAAGGCAACACAAATCCGTAGGAGCACCAATGCCTCCTTAGGACGGTCCTTTTGGAGGCCTGAGGGTTTAGGGGTTTAGGGTTTCAGGTTTATG